CGCAATTTATATGTACCTATACAGGTCGGTGTATCTCGCGATAGCGGATAGCAATCGTCGCAGCGTGTACAATTTAACATTTATCCGTTTGCTTCTTTACACATGCCAATTACGAATTTCCAAGAGTTTCAAGCATAGTCGTCCATAGTCAACACTAATAATATAGGTACATTATTTCTTCTTGGTCGTGTGACACGTGTGGCGTAACGTTTTTATAGTAAGAAGCACGTTCATGTATTATTTAGATTTAGGTAATAAACATATACGTATACATTTTTAGCAAAAACATATAAAAATGCGATAATACCTGCTATAGTAGTGTTAATTCTCTAATCGAGCTTGTACAAACGTACTTGTATTTCTATTCAATGTAGATAGTTTACTTGGACCGCGAATTGCATTCGCACGTCTGGTTATTTAAAATGCAAGATTTATTCTGCGAATAAATCCAGATACATTTTGATAACAAGGACGATTTCTTCCATGTGATCGTTTTTCTTGTAAAAGAGAGATTACGCGACGATGTGCTGACGATGAAATAATTAACGTACATACATGTATGTTTAGGTACAAGATATGCATTTTATGTATATACATTTATCATGCGAGGATGAATCGATTAAATTGCATGCAACTGGCGTGTACGTGAAACGAAGCTCTTCGTTACTGTAGCTTGCCTATCTACGAATTTTTAGATTTTTCGACACATAAAATTCGAAGGAAGCTCATCATCGCTGCTCGTCGTCGATGTAATTTTTCACAATTGTTGATAATATTTTTATCATAGCCAGCAAGATACACGACAAAAATATCTATATTATAAAGTAACATTTCTTCTTTTTCCTTCTTTGCATTCAAGGAGAAATCAATTATGTATGTATATAATTTTATTTTCAGAACAGAATATTTGTAAGAAATTGTGTCAAGTTGGGACGAATTAACTTTGCATAGCTTGTATCTATCTATTGTATTTGAGAAGACTTGGTGCTAGTCAAAAAAGTAACCAATTATTGTTAACCGCACTGGTGAATACTCTTCGCGTTCCCGTTTTCTCACAATACGATACAATAACATTAAACAATCTCGTATAAATTGTATAACAAATAAGACTAGGACTTGGTACAAGATGCATCGCTACTTATCTGAGTCGATTGAAGGATAGTATAATTCAAGATTTTTATGTTCAAATTGCTAGTAGTTTAATAATGTATAAAGGATGCAAAATATGTAGAAAATGAATTGGAAAAGATTTTTCCCCTATAAGATTTTTATCTATTCTTATATATTAGATAAAACACAGATTAAAAGTCTCGATGCTTACACCACTGGTCGGTTGTCAACCAGTACTTTCTTAACTATTATTTTTTAAAACAAAAATTTCTTTAAAAACGACGTAAAGATATTTTTAAGACTCTGATAGTAACAAAATGTATACGACGGTTACGGTATACGTAATATGTATAAAGTAATAAAATGGCGATCTCGAGACATGGGCACATCGATTCGCAATGTATAACAACGTACGTATAATCTTGCAAATTTCGGAAAAAAAAAATCGGTGATTGCATGAAGAGTTTTATTCGAATATTTGACGAAAAGATTTCATCTTGAAACCATCTTCGATTTACATGTAAATATGTTGTATAAAAAAAATTCAATTTTATACATACATATGTATATGTATATGTATGTACTCTCTGAAAGAAACATTTCAATACTGTTGTGATTACATCTGTGTTGTGTCGCGTTGTGATTACCACAATGTCGCCGTCCTGGCCTTTCGAAGGGAGTTCATGTACCTTGCATATACATATACACTACTATTTATTATACGTTTACGTAATCACATTGCGCGGTCGCGCAAACGCTTTTTTTTGGAAGTAAATACTTTTCTATCAATATACAACATCGGGTTTAAAGACAATGCCATTGAATTACGTCATATTCATTATCTTCCCAATTATTTCCTGAATTCCCATGCAGAAAATATGGATATAGATTAAGCAGACTCTAGCGTTATCACCGACAAACTGACAAATGATCGCTCCATCATTAGCTTTATTAGCTCGTCGGTCCAACTTGGTTACTTACGTAATCACCGATCACCGACTTCACAAACAGGTATAATTATATATATATAATCACAAAAATAGGTTCCAGAGTATTCTTCCGAGTATGGCGATATCTCTCTCAGTGATTTGATTCATATCACGTAATTTAGATTATCGACATACGTACACGTAGAAATTCACTGAAAGAGCGCGGACACATCCCAAATCTTAATAACGCGATCTTGACCGACGGTCAACAATCTTCGCCTAGGAGCGTCTAAATCCATCCCGATGACACTGTGCTTGGCATCGTGGAAGGAGGCCAACGATGATTGGCTACGTAAATTAAAAGGAACATTATATTCTCTTACTTTGTGACGCAGTCTTCGCTATTATCGATAAGTCTCGAGGGAGAACGTGACGCTCATCTGACAACTTACTTTTCTGACTTTAGCTGTATGTGACATTGATCGCAGACTCTCACTTCGAACTCAAAGCCCATCGCCGGTATCGGTATTCGTTGCGATGTGCAGCGAGCGCATAACGCGCGACCGCAGTAACGACAGTGATGCTGCCTCAATCCCAACTGTCGTTGATCCATCATAGCTTTTATATTCCAGAAGAAGGGTCTTCCACAAGCCTGGATTTCATTAGAGCATCTTAGGGTAATGTTGTACTGCCATGTATTTAAAAGATTCTTTTCTCTCGTAGAACACATACCTGACAGACATCGGATTCAACCCAAGCGGCGGTTTCCTTCCTATTTGCCGCCATATTCCAACAGACTATCACACCGTCCTCACCTCCGGACAAGAGCAAGCGTTCAACGCTCGCATAACATAATGCCGTTACTTTGTTACTGAAAGAGAGAATTTGTTTCTTTTTTTTTTTCAAAACATCTTGTGAAAGTAATCCGAGTAATATTTCTGGCTAAGCAAAATTTTTGAAAGACCTTTTCGCGTGCGCACTTACTGGTGTCCCTGAAGCTCATAAGCGGTGCCTTGGCGACCTCCAATGTCCCAAACGATAATGCTTTGATCGAAACTACCAGAAAACAGCAATTGTTTCTCTGAGTCCCATGCCAGCGTGTGAATACTTCCCGTGTGTGCCTTTAATGTAGTAATGAAGGTAACGCCGCTATTGTCCAGCTTTAACATGGCTATCTGACCAGAATAGTCACCTACGAAAGCATGTTTGGATTGGGCATCAAATCTGTACGCGCGAGTTAAGTTTCTCACAGGTGGATAGAACACTCAATTTGTTTACAATAACATAAGACTTTTTTTTGCAAAAGGATACTGTAGAGCGGTATACCACGCGTCTGTTTGATACGATCCCAATTTCTGTCCTGTTTCGGAGCTGTGTAAATGAAACAATTTATCACGGCCTATACTCAAGACCCATTCAAAATCTGCTGTGAAAATGATTCCTGTGACTCTCGCTTGATGCGCTAGATAATCGCGCATACCTGTCATTCGATTGTAATCTTGCTCTAAGATAAATTCCTACAAGCGAAAAGGCAAGTGGTATCCCAGTTTGCAAGTACAATATTCTAATGATGGGCAAAGTAAAAGAAGTGACATGACATACATTGATACTTCCATTATCCAGGCCTACAAATAGTTGCCTCGTTTCTACGCAATAGTGCATGGAGGTAGCACCTGCTGGCATGTATTGACAAATACTTGGCCAATAATGACCGGAATCTCGCTTCAGCCATACTCTAACTGTCCTGTAAAAAGAAAGTCAAAATGAAATAGGTTAAATAATTGTTTAAATTTCACCTTTTTCAAAGAGTTGCATCCTGTAATTAATATATAGGTACATATAAAAGAATTGTGTGTGTGCATTTAAGAGAGAAAGAGAGAGAGAGAGAGAGAGAGAGAGTTTTCTCTCGCCCACACATACGCGCGCGAGCTTTGTATACACCACAGTCTAGACGTTGATAATTTGATGTAGTTTCAATGCCATTCGATATATGAGAACCATACAAACAATACATACGTAACGTACAAAATAGAAAAATGGAGTTCAAGGTGTGTCCGCACGTATTGACAAAATTGCGCGCACTTTTTACAAGGAAAATAAGAAATTGTCAAGATCGAAAATGATACAGGGAGACGAGAGAATATTACAGGCAAGTGAAAGAGCGTGCGTTTAAGAAAAATATACCAAAACTACGCAGTCCTGGGAAATGTCTAATATCTATGTGCAGGACAGGTAGATGTGACATACCTGTCATCGCAAACACTAATTACACCCTCTTCCCGCGGGATAATGATAGCCGCATTAACGTCATCGCTACAGCCTTCCAATTTCGACAGGAGGACCGGCTTGCGGCTGCTGCTGAATTTATCGTGATTCACTCCCGGGGCGGGCTTTATTTCCGCTGCCATTTCTTAACCGCGCGCGTACGTAATGGTACGTAATCACAAGTTCACAAGTGCAATTGCCATTTGACAGTTGTCCAGTTGTCAGATGCTGAGCACTCTGAGCACGGCGCCCGCGGAACAAAGATAGGACACTTGTGTTTGCGTTATATTGTCAGTATACGTCACTTCAGTCCTTCCGGTCTCCCGTCGTCAGGTCAACTTGATCACGACTGCTTCGTTCCGAAACCCATCGAAAATGGACGCATTTCCAGTTTGTTCAGCTTTAACTATTTAATATCACTAGAATAAACACTAGATAACTAGTGTTTCTAATTTCTATGTGCCCAAGTATATGCTTTTCATCTGAAGAGGTTTCTCTCTGTCTGAAGATACCATGAAGTACGTGAAGTAAGAGAGAAGGAGATCGAACTCTGTGAAACGTAAATGGTCCTAGTCCGTGACCCCTAATTGGGAGGGAGTCCGCTGAAAGGAATGAATTCTTATGGTTGGGCGCCATTTGCAACTAACCTTACCCGAACAGTCCGGCCTGATCCATTGCTTGCATTAGACGGAGAGGTCACGAAGTAAGAGATCGTGGAAGAGGTTAAGAGTTCCAAAAAATTAAAAAAGGTGAAACATTGAAATTTAATATTAATATACAAGCATGCTCTTACTTCGTGAATGCAAGCCAAGCCGGACTGTTCGGGTAAGGTTAATTGCAAATGGCGCCCAACCATAAGAATTTATTCCTTTCAGCGGACTCCCTCCCAATTAGGGGTCACGAATCAGGACCACTTTTTCAGCTTGCGTTCTATTAAGTTCGGTCTCCTTCTCTCTTACTTCGTGGAAGATACAAATAGTAGTGTTTATGGCACGCTCTTTTATGCAATTACAATGAATACGAAGGAAAAGGAAAAATACATCGAAGAATTCGATTTTCCATATTGCGACGAATCCTCCAAATATGAAAAAGTTGCGAAAATTGGCCAAGGAACTTTCGGGTAAGCAACAATTTTACGCTTAGATCATGCGACTTTAAGGTTATGCATTACTCCCCCGAAAATTTTACCGTTGTTTATTCAATAACGCAATTATTCACTTAACAATTAAATAAGCGTAATTTTCTCTTTCTAATTTTTGTATGTGTGTTCTTTTTTCTCACAGCGAGGTATTTAAGGCTAAAGACAAGAAAACAAACAAAAAGTTTGTCGCAATGAAGAAGGTACTAATGGACAATGAGAAAGAAGGAGTAAGTTTGCTTCATAATTTTATATTATATAGTACATCTAATTGTATAGTACATCTCATTATATACATTTAATTTCATGATTATCAAGGAAAAAAGCTTGGAAATGTTATGCTATAAATTTTTTATTAATCTTTATGTTTATGTAATCTTTATATTAACTCAAACAAAGTGTATCCTTCTGCTCTATTCAATATTTCTTAAAACTTATAGTCCACAACCCTCGCTTTAAGAGGCCCTAAGCTGTAAAGTCGTAAGAAATTGATGAATCACAGTATTTTTCTCTCACAATTGTTCTCTCATTCAACTATGATTGGTCAATCTCTTATAGCTTTACGGCTTAGGATCTCGTAAAGCAAGGTTGTGGACTCAGTTATAGTTTGTTATATATCAAAATTTTACAGTTTCCCATTACGGCATTGCGTGAAATAAAGATATTACAATTGCTGAAACATGAGAATGTAGTCAACCTTATAGAGATTTGTAGGACACGAGGTAAATATATATATTTTATCTTGTAATGTTTATTAAAAAAAATTGTTAATATGTATACGTAGGAATAGGAGTTTACTCTTTCACTAGAATAGAATACCTATTTTTTAGAGGAATATGTAAAAAATACTACAACTATAAATATCTGAGAATATCTGAATTGTGAAAAATGGTTTTAAAACAATTTGCGTTAAATAGTTATTAAAATAATTGGTTTTGATGTTGTAAAATCTAAAATTTAATTAATTACACTAATATTAATTTTGTAATGTTTTCAGCAACACAATATAATCGATACCGATCTACTTTTTACCTGATATTTGATTTCTGTGAACATGACTTGGCTGGTTTGTTGTCAAATGTAAATGTCAAATTTAGTTTAGGAGAAATAAAAAAAGTTATGCAGCAGTTACTAAATGGTCTGTACTATATACACAGTAATAAGGTAAGAAAAGATTTATATCTTTTTAAAATTATAATTTTTAAAATATTAATAGAAAATAAAGAGATTCAAGATTACTCTCTTTTTCCAATAAAATGTCACAATAATTTTTACTTAAAATTTACTTAAAATATACTTAAAATTTCAATCTACATATATATTATTAAATATTAGGCCTGTTCTTTTTGCCTGCACTGTCTGAACTGGTACATACAGTGCAATAAGTTGAAATGAAACAAACGTATATCTGTTTCACTTCAACTTATTGCACTCTGTGTACCAGTTCGGTAAAAAGAACAGGCCTATTATAATATAATTCTTGTTATATGTGTAATATGTTTGAAAAAATTGCATTAAAATTGTTTTATTAAAACGACAATTGCGATGGTGCAATCATGGTTATAAAATAAATAAACTATTCAGTGATATTACCATTAATTGTTGCTATTGACATTGTTGCAATAATTCTTACATTCAGCTTCGCATTTAATTTCTTACAGATTTTACATAGAGATATGAAAGCTGCTAATGTTTTAATAACAAAAAATGGCGTATTAAAATTAGCTGACTTTGGTTTGGCACGAGCATTCAGTGCAAAAAACGGCCATTCGAATCGTTATACCAATAGAGTCGTCACTCTTTGGTACCGACCACCAGAGCTTCTACTTGGTGACAGAAATTATGGACCACCAGTGGATTTATGGGGTGCTGGTTGTATAATGGCAGAAATGTGGACAAGGTCTGCATTATACTATGATATATATTGTGTTCTTGTGATTTTTGTACGCGTTATCATATATTGTTCGCTTTTCAAATCTACAGGTCTCCTATTATGCAAGGAAGTACCGAACAACAACAGTTAATATTAATTTCACAATTGTGTGGCTCAATAACGACCGAGGTGTGGCCTGGCGTTGAAAATTTGGATCTATTTACCAAAATGGATCTTCCTAAGGGACAGAAAAGAAAGGTAAATCGCAAATTCTTCATATGATTCTTGATTTCAAAATACACATTTCTGTACTGCATTTTAAATTTTGAGTCAGTCAATAAATGATATTAATTGATAAATGATTTTATATAGGTCAAAGATAGACTGAAGCCATATTTGAAGGATCCTTATGCCTGTGACTTGTTGGACAAGCTTCTAATACTCGATCCTAGCAAGAGATGTGACTCTGATTCTGCGTTGAATCATGATTTTTTCTGGACTGATCCTATGCCATGCGATCTTAGCAAGATGCTGGCGCAGCATACTCAGAGCATGTTCGAATATCTGGCACCACCGAGACGACCTGGTCATATGCGTCATCCGCATCATCAAGTACCTGGAGGACCAGCCAAACCTAGTTCCAGTATGGCTGACAGTGGCTATCAGGATCGCGTCTTTTAACATATTCATTTCTATTCATATGTAATAAGTCTGTATATACAGGGTGTCTGGAATTGAAATGTTAAAATTTCGGGAGGTGTAAGGGACTGATAAACTAAGAAAATAAGTAGAAATATACTCGTTTTGGAGAAAATCGCGAAAAAGACAAAATTGCTTTGTTTTTGGACGTAAAGGAGTAGTGTCTTGACTATCTCGATTACCTTATCTGACATCACTGGACTTCTTTATATAGAGAGTCCTAAAGCAGGAAATTTAGTTGTCAATCAATTCAAGAGAGCAATTGAGAAATCAAATCGAAGCTGCAGTGCACGAAATATTATCAGATCAGTGTTTGGTTACAACTCGAGCAGTCCATACTGATGATAAACTTGCATTCCTTCATAAAAGGCCAATATTTTAAACAATATCTACATTAAACAAGTGAATCAATACAACATGAATAAGTGTAATAAAGAAAAAGTACAAAAACGATAACTACATTTTGTCTCTTTTATGATTTTCTCCAAAACGAAGTAAAAACGAATATATCTTTACAAGACTTTTTTTCTTAGTTTATCAATCTTGTACACACTCCCAAAGTTTTGACATTTTAATTCCGGACATCCTGTATATACTCAGGGTGAGACATCTAAAACAGATCACCTAACTCGCTTGTTTTCGATAAAAAAGTTTTAGATAAAAGTGGAACGGTTTTGTGGGACATGTGTTTTAGATGTCTCGCCCTATATATATGTATAAAATATATGTATATATATGTATGTATGTACGTACGCGTGTAATATGAGGAACGTTTAAATTCAAATTATAATTGAACGAACTTGGCGTCTACTAATTTTTTTTTTTAAGTACACATTCCAGTGTATCACATGATATGGTCCACATGCCACAGCAGTTTCAAGTTAATGAATCATGCAATTTAAACTTTGTGATTAAAATTTGAATGTCGCTCATATTTTATATACAGGATATTTGAGAAGTAATGACAAATTTTGTCGCATAAGGGTAGAATGGACTAAAGTGAGAAGGAAAATCTTGTACCATTTTACAATTTTTGCAATAGTTAACGAGATATTAATTTATAAAAATATTCAAATTCGCCCGGCTGAATACGACCGCACAGAGAGGCGCGCCGTTTGCGTTTACCGTCGCTAGACACGCATTGTTTATAACGAGCGGCAATGATCGTCGCTAGTCACAATGTCCATTTTTCTTAGTTTAGTCCATTCTACCCCTATATGCGACAAAATTTTTCATTACTTCTCAAACACCCTGTATAGAGTGCAAGCTTTATACGAATAGCTATGTAATAATTCCATCGATTCCATCATGATGTTACCAAATTTTATTATAATTATTAAAGTCATTTTATTTGAAAATCCATCTATTACATTATTTCTACACCAAAAAATCGCAATAAAATGAAAACTTACATATACGATTACGAATAAGTTATTTTATACAATGTTTACATCAGCATTTAAAATTTACATTTTTTTACTCCTACTTGCGTTACTAGCGGTCGATTCTCAGCAATTCTTATCAGTTCTCAGTTCTCTTGCAACTAAGAAACGGCTAAACGAAAGAGGAAAATAATACGCGCGGTAGGAGTGAGGTTAGGTTATTTCGAAATTCGAATGGCTTGTCGACTCGCGAATAAAGCAATTTTGGTTCAACTCGGGCAGTTTAAGCGACTGCTACTCGCAATCTGCAGCAGGAATACTGTTCAATTATGTTTCCGAAAAATGTCAAGACAACGCTATTGTGTGGCCCGAAAGATTTGAGTAAATCTTTTATGTTTGAGGTATATATAAGGTATTATTTGTACGTAATTTTCAACGTACGTTTTACTTTCTACGTACGATCGAAATACCGCGTATACGTATATTTTCGAAAGTGGAAAGAAAACATTTTCCTACATCTGACCTGTAATAACAGGCTGCGACGTACTGGGCGGAAGAGGGACAACGGGTTGTTTACATTACTCCGGTACCTCTAGAAAAACGACCGGCGGCTTGTCACGACAGAAAGAATCCATCAGTAGCGGCGCTCAAACTAATGAGATTCGTGTGAGAGACACATATTTATACAATGTATTATGTAACACGTCTTTTCCCAGCAAACACCTGCAAATTACATGTAACGTACACATTAGTTGTAATTTCCCACTCAACAATATAATTGTAACATAACATACATATTATATTATAGTTATATACACATATATTGTTGAGTGGGAAATTACAACACGTGTACGTTACATGTAACTTGGTGTTTGCTGGGTTACATCAGACTATTAATTCCTATTTGTCGCAACGATTCATGCACTTGTGTCATCTTAGATTTAATTGTTATTTAAAAAACTCGAGTAAATGTAACAACATCTTGTTGTTCAACGATATTTAAACATTGGACGTTTATTTATTCATGAGCGCATCGATATATATGTATGTTATATGTATATTTAATATAGCGCGCATAATTATCTTAATATTTATTTATACGCGCAGATATTTGTCGGATTACGAAGCTCTTGTGGAACAACTTTTTAAACTACACACCTACACAGCAATACCTTCTGTGCTTTTGATAGATGATTTGGACGATTATCTCTTGAGCGACGATCAAGCTCCTGGAGATGATAAGTCGAGGTCGCGCATCGCCAGAATTTGCGCCTTGATACTCCATTCGATGAAATCGTGTTCACGAATTTTGAAAAAGAATGTAAGGAAGAAATTACTTGTACCTTCGATAAAAACAGATTTCTGCTCTTCTGGGTAGAAAATCTTTTCTCTCTCTCTCTCTCTCTCTCTCTCTCTCTCTCTCTCTAAAACGTAAAATGTATTATTAATACTTAACGTGAGGGTCGTGACACCTTTAATCTCCAGCATATTATTCATATTTCATTATTAATTTATCTTAATAAACGACTTTGATTTTCGTCCTTTATATATCTTCTCTCTTCAACTTTTATAGTAAACAAGTCCAAATAAGTATAAATATTGTATAAAAAATTAAAAATAGTTGAAAATTATTTAATTATTTAATCTTGATGTTTTCTTAATCGTGACGCTGTTTTTATGATAAAATAAATCAAACGATTATGTTATAGGTACATGTGTGCGTATGGACCAATTCTAGTCTCATTGATAACTTCATTCAGAGAATTTATTTTCGCAATATTTGGAATTTAACGGAGAAACAAGATGAGAAAGTGATTTTGATGGAAAAGTGTTCCATTGGATCATCGTTAGAACGATCGTATACGTATTATAAATTCCAAGATGGGATGCGAGTTCTTCAACAAATATTAGGCGATTCATTGGAGGCCTCATGATATTTTTGTCGAATATATTAGTTATCTTCATTGTTCTTATTATTTTTGTTTTAACGGAACATATAAAAATGGAAATTCTATAAAACTATATTCTATAAAACACTGCAAAATAAATTGCATTAAAATATTGCTACCTTATTGCACACGCATTATATTGTATAAGTATATAAAATTTGTGCAAAGATGTTTTTTGAAAAGACAATGAGAAAAAGAGGAAGTGAGAAGTGAAAAGAAGGAGGGTGAGAGGAATAGGAAAAAGAATGGAAAAAGTGAGGCTGACAAGGGTAACAGATGAAAAAGAGTCCCATATACATGCGTGAATAGAATTTTTTAAAAATATCTGTTCTCCCTTCGAGAACAGATCGAGTGACACATTGTTTTGAGCAAGATGTTATATCAATTTTGATACTTTTTTACTACATACTAGAATCTACCACCGGAATTGATCCATCTCTGAGAGTGAAATAACAGTGTAACACGAGAAGAAGGGAAAGGGAAGAAATAAGAGACAGGGACAAATTATAGGATTATTCTACCGATACACGTAATATCAATGCAAATAAAAAAAACTTATCTACAATTCATTCGTCGGTCTGGGATACTCGCTGACGTAGCAAGAGATACCAATACCAATATTATAGATGCCGTATGTTTGGACTCTGCATTTGCACGTACGCTAATTACGCACGCAGCGGCGCAGGCATATGCGAGAGCGATATAGGCGCGTAGTAAGTATTTGAATTGAATGTTACCCGTACGAACTTATTTTATTAAGTGTACAGACGACAACGCAAAATTGAGACAGGTATTCGAAAAAATAGAAAAAAAAAAAAAAGAAAAAGGTACAAGCATAAATATGTATATACGTTGCATACATGTGCGTATGCATATATGTATATATAATGTATATATATGTATGTACATATGCACATTATATTGTTGACACAACGATAATTGCAGTGTTGAACAGCTTCGTCGGTGAGTCGGAAGCTGTGTTGAACTGTGTCAACAATTAACACAGCGCAATCAAATTTTTCAGTTTTTCCTTTGTTCTGTGCCGCGCGCTTTCTTTCGCGTAAGTAAACAATATAACTCGATCTAAGCATTCGCGCGATTTAGCGATTTTATTATCTAATAACAAAATCCGAAACGCATTCGATCTGAGCGCTTGCTACAAGAACGCATCTCTGTTGAAATGTAAATTAACTAAAAGACGAGCACGTATTGTATTACATTCTCTCTCTCTCTCTCTCTCTCTCTCTCACACACACATTTATATTTTATTTCAATAAAATCTCTCAAGACTGTGCTTACTAATCTCTCGTTATAATTCATTTTGAATTATTTTTACAAACGTTCCTACACATTTTGTCTGTATATACATGTGCGCGCGCGATTGTCTGTATATACATCGTAAGCGATGTAAGCCATCAATAATCACAGGCTTGTTCCCTATTAAAAGCTACATTCCATCGGTCAAACAACCAGTTTTGAATGGGTTTCGAATTCCCGATGACTCATGGATCTTCGATCTCTGCATCCGCATTGCGTGAACGGAAAAGCAGAAAACAAAAATAATCACCGGACATCATTTGTGGTATGCTGAACTTGACCACTCTTCGCATTTCGAATTTAATATATTCGTATTACACGATTCGCGGTAATGAAGGACCTGATCGTTGATAAGGAATTATCTCGCGTGGATCATCATCATGGACATGTATAGGATATTTTTGGGGAAATGGAGAGACTTTATCAATTCTGTTATCATATAAATAGCAATTTTTTTACATTATAAATTTTTTTTTATTTTCTTAAGAAAATGTGAACAAAATACTGCGGTTATATTAAGAACGAAATGTGAATGACGTAGTTATATTAACGTAGTATATCTACATCGTGTTATATGTACATACAAAGTTTGGTTTTTTGGTTGAAAAACCTTGAGAAAAATTTTCTTATCGAACAATCTGTGAAAAATGTCATTATAACAAAAGTTTCAGAAATCATTTACGTATGTAGTTGTAACAAAAAGGAAATAAAAAATTTATGCGACAACAAAAAAATTACTTAGCAAATCAAAAGTAAATTCTTTTCTTTTACAATTAAAAATGAAAAAAATAAATAAACTATTAATTTCGAGAAGTTGAATTCCTCTCTTTCTAGTCGCAGTCATAATCATCATTATCATTTTTTCGAGGTTGCGCAAGTATGTCGGAAATCAATAAAATCAAACTTCGTGTGGTCGTTATATCGATAATTCTCTGTATCGAAAAAATAACAAAGATTATTTTATCTATGTATTTTTTCGAGGAAAGACCTTTGTTCATTTATTTAAAGAAACCTATTTTCTGAAAGAGTATAGATTTATTCTAGCTTAAAAAATACGTACATAATGTTAGCGTTTTTAATTTCATCTTATTATTACTTTATTGTATTAATTTAGTTTAATTTATTAATTTTCTACTCTTTTTTTTTCAAATTCTTTATCAAGTTTCTTTTCAATCTGCATTAATTTGTAATGCGTTACATAGTCGTAGCTTCTATTTTTAATTAAATTAAAAAATAATATAAAATCCTAGAGATTGAGAGAAAAGATGATCGAAAAAGCGTGTAGTATCAATTAGTATTGTATTATACGGTGATCATACGTTCTTTATTGTAAAGGACAATTCTTTATTTCAGATAGCTGTCCTTTAAATTTATTTGTTTCTTCAAAACTCAATTTTGTCCTTCATTTTCCAATCTTGCCTTTTACTGTCCTTTATTTTGACATTACGGAAAATACTTTTCTAACTAGCGTTCCAATATGTAATGTTATTAACAAGTAAAATTTTACGGAAAATATTTTACAGTTTCTTGCATATAAATACAATTAGTTTTTGTTAAATATATTACTTAATTTTTTTGATGAAATTTATTCAAACTAAAGTTGTTCTTATTTGTTATTATTTCAGATCAAGTAGGGTATTTCTTCCAATACAATCGAACCCAGTTTCGAACTAATAACAGAAAACTTGCGTATTATAATCTCAATTTGATCAATTTGTGCAATACGATTTTATGATACGCACAGATTTTTGACAGTCACAGACTGGTTTGAAAACACGTAGGAACGAGAGGTCCTAAAATTTTCAGACCTGCCTTTATTTTCTTTTAAAAAATACGATCATCATACATCTCACTACATCCCGCAGCGGCTGCAGCCTCTGTGAGGCTGCACGCCTGCAGCATTGAGAGTGCAGGTTAGAAGCTGCGAGCAACGCAGTAGCAGAATGCCGGAGTGCCTGCGATCGAATAGGTATAAGGCTGCTGCAGAGAGGTTGCCCGGTTGCTCCAGCGGTCTGACAAGTGTGGCAAGCTGGCAAGAAGTGTCTGGAAGTGCCAGTTGATCCGCGGCATTCGCTACGGTTGCATGGTCGCTGCAGGTCGTAGCACGTTTTACGCGCGGCGTTCCCCTATACGTATATATAAAAGAAATCTTTATATTTCAGCCGTGCAGTTCCTTTTTCCTCCCTGAAATTCCTATTGTGTTCTCATCGATGAAAAACTCGGAAGATCATCGCTCGGAAAACTAATGAGTCTCGTGGAACTGTACCGCCGTTCGAATAATAAAAGACAGATACCTAAACAGGAATGCGTTGTATGTTGGGAACATGGGAATGTAGCGATCAGTGTATGTGTGTAAAGTGTTGCGCGCGGGCGTGTTTTCCAGACAAGTTCCTCCGTTCTTTCATCGTTTTCTAAGAAACGCATTCGGAATACTGGAGACTGCCAGGAGAGGACACGATGGTGTTCCCGACGATCCTACGAGCCGCTGCAGTATTCCTGTTGCTCGTCCTCGAACTCGATGCTGCGGTAGCTAACACTGTCACATCGGCTAAGGTATTTATCGGTCCCGAGAGGTTTATCTTTACTTTTACTTTCACGTTTGAGAAATTCGAGAAATTTTCGTCAGATTCTATCTTAAATATTACCGCATGCGCGCGCGCGCGCGCGAGCGGGCGCGCGCGGTCTTTGCCCGCCGACGCATTGCATTCGACAATTGAAATAGGTAATTGTTGATAATGCAACGAGACGCACAAGTCTGAAACTTAATGCATTCTCTCTCGCTCTTTCTGTCACAAATAGAGTATAATAGTAGCCGGAGATTTATAACAATGATGCTGATTTGCCGATTTTCGCCACGCTTATACTAAACAGCGCATTATATCGCGGTGATATTGCTACCTGCAATTTTTTTTGTAAACTTACAGACACGCAACAGAGAGTGTACATTATTCTTTTCTGATTTTTTTTTTTTATTAGTGCCTGCTAATATGCGTAAAATAATAAAGTATTTCATTGTAAAATAAACTAAAAGAAAGAGAGAGAGAGAGAGAGAGAGAGAGAGAGAGAGAGAGAAATTTTTGGCAAGATGATTTTAGATTTCAAGTTTTAAAATAATATTTTAAACGCAAAGTGTATGTAAGCTAAGAAGAATCGTAAGAAATAATACTAAATAATGCAAAAGTATAATAAAACGTTATTGCGAAATAATTGTAAAAGACGAAACTTGAGATATAGATGAAACCGAGAATGAAACTTTCACTGTTCTTAGCAATTGTATCAATTTAGCAATTATATACCAATTCCGTTGTCGAATGGCATGAATTCCACAATGTGAAACGAGATGAAGTATAAAAGATTCACGCTTTCAATTTGCTTTAGACGATAATTGCGATCACATGTTTACTGCTACTAAAAATAAGTATATTATTGTAAGAGAGACAGATAATCAAAGAAATTATATTATAATAATAAATTACGCCTTTTTGTACGTGTCAAAGATTCGTATAAATAAAAATACATTTTTAATTATCGATGCAGCAGATCGTCTCGAAGAAGGCAATTTAGAATATACACGTACGTGTTTCAACTGTGAATAGCGAAATGTTTATCTCTACGATACATTAATACCTCTTTTTTTCATTCTTGAAACCAAAACGTCTCAATGTTTATCCCAATTATCACGACACACAATTCACTTACGTGTTACGCGCCGATCATGTGTGAAAAAATAATAGTATTAAGCGAGTCGCAAAAAATAGAAAAAAAAAAATAGAAAGATGACTTTCAGTTTATAAAAACTTTACAATCAGACGCGTGTTACTCGTGTAAAAATTAGTGTCGCACAACGATGAAGAAAAGCGAAGTATTACTTGCGCGACGACGAGAAAACGACTGTTTTCGAAATTGTATATTACAGCGAGAGAATGCGAGATTGCGCGCACGTGTGCGAATAAGAAATTGATCGGGTTGATTAATTTCCGTATAACGATAACGTGGTTAGTTGCCATGCACGCGTGATTCCAGCTGATGCAGTGGTTAAAGAGAAAATCATTTTCCTCTGTATCGTCGCCATTCGTTTTTTCCTTATCAAATTAATTCTGATAAAAGGCGACGCAAGTAATCATACCGAGTAACTATTCCCTTCCCGTCGAGGTTTCCGCCAGTCACATTGTACGAGCAATCATATATCATTTAACGAATGTATCGTACAATTAGACGATTTTAACTATGTATATACCATATATATATACACGCACATACATATAGCATTACACGCATATACATGTATATAACAAGTGTGCGTAACAAGTTTGACAAGTACGTCAACCGTACGTGTGTTAAAACCGTTATTAGCACCTATATATCCAATATTTGTAATCTGTAATAGCCGACATCGGGACTGAAATAATTATGAATTTTGTTTATTATTAGGGTTAATTTAGATTTAATTTTGGAGCCTACTGATGTGGATATCTGATGTTAAGAAATTTGAAATTTGCCAGAAAGAATCGTACATATAAGTCATTTTCTCATGGTAAATTTCAGACATCTTAATTATTTATATCTCTGTAGAGAGAGAGAGAGAATTAATTTTCGTAATTCATAATAGATCAGATCTTTCAAAATTCTGTTTTAAAGCAAAGTCTATTCTTTTGACATCATCTTGACGTTCGTAAGGAATATAGTATTGAATTCCTTGACATCGAACGTACGCGTTCATTTATCTGATGTAACAAGAATATTCTCTTCTCGCGCGCGCTTATGTGTCTCGCTGTAGAGTAAATGGAATCATCAGTATTTTCAGAACACGTGAAATTTTCCTTTATTACAGGAGGAATGTAGGAAAAAAATAGCTGAATGCACAATGAATGGTGGTGGAAGCACGCCTGTGTGCGGAAGCGATGGAGTCACGTACTCCAATCAATGTCAAGTCATTTCTAAGCAATGTCAAGGCGTGTCTGTCCTCATCAAACACACTGGACCTTGTCCAGGTTTGTATCTCTGTTTCACGCACGAAAGCTTATATCTCTGAAAAATCTATGGATCTTTCCTAGGGTCGGAGGGACTATAGAGTTTGCTTCTCTTTCAGCTGCTTCCCTCCCTCTCTTTCTCTCTCTCTCTCTCTCTCTTTCTATCTCTATCTCTCTTTCATGCACTGATCTCTTTCAAACTGCAATAGATTCTTAACTGCAGTCTATTATTATAGATATTAAAATTAAGAACTCTTTTTGTTAAACACATCTGTCGTGATTCACGCATATTTATATGTACAATATATAGATGAAAGTAAAGTGTACAAATAAGACTTTGTACAATTTTTATTCATCAGAGACTCCGGCGTGCTTCTCAGCAAGATTAACCGCTCGACATGGCGTACGGCCTGCCTGCCGAGACGATGGGACGTACGCGCCCGTTCAGTGTCACGCAGAGACCGAGTATTGTTGGTGTGTAACGCCGCAAGGCCGGCCGTTGCCCGATACAACGGTAAGATATAAAAAACCAAGATGTTTGAGAGCCGGTTCCAGATCTGCTGCTTCTACTAGGAGCGGCCAAAGGCGACGCTCGCCGACTAGGAAACAACGTAGGCAGTATGTTAGCAATAGGCATCGAAATACCTGCGATCGTACCGAAAAGTCCAAGTTCAATGGAAATCTCATCGAGAACTTCAAAATCGAATACAGACGGACTAATATATCCACCGAGGGTAAGTGACACGAGCAATCGCCGCGTGTTAAGCCGTGATCAGACTGTGCAATGGAGATTCAGATTGAAGCTCGATCAATGAGAACAAAACAGGCCGAGATTGAGATTGCAGACTGAAATATAGGCTGAAGTAGGCTCCGCCTATTTTTTCAATCTTCAATCCTAATTTCAACCAATAAGCTTCCAATATTTCAGTCACATGACTAACCTCACGTGACTATAAATCTCACAAACATACTATCTTCTTTCGTTCAATTTCAGCAATTATTAAAAACAGTAAAGAAACCATTATTTTCTTTTTTTTTCTTCATATATAAACGCACATTATTTATTAATTGGGGCATTGTTTGATTTAATCTTTATCCTTTATCTTTATCTATTATCTCTTTCGATCAATAATGCTACACACACCAAACAGTACAATTAAAACAAATGCGTATTCAATAATTTTTGTTATGTTGTTGTAGCAATCCTGATATTCTTACTAATCTCGACAATCTTAACTGCTGTTGGATACAATTCGTAGTGTGATTGAGCAATCTTTATCTCAATTTTCATTTCCAATGCATATAGTCTGATCACGGCTTTAAAAATATGCGGATTAATCGCGATGCGCGCACACACGATCTTGCCTTTATTACAATAATATGATTATTAATCCGATTAATTGGGAGCTTGATCAGAAGCGAGCTTGTGTTTAAAAAAAAAAACTTAAAAAATTTTTCAAATCGCAGGACACTATCTATATATATGTATACATACAAATACACATATATATATATATATATATACACACACCACGCGTAATTTCTCAGTACGTGTTCGTATGATCAAGCGCATGTTGTTTTCCTGTTGATAGATGATAAGAATGTCGAACGAGTATTGTCGTGGAAATTTGTTAAGCTGGACCAGAACGCAGACGGCTACTTAGATAAGACAGAGTACAAGGAGCTCAGAAGACTCGCCAAGAAGGCGGTGAGACCGAAGAAGTGCGCACGCACGTTCGCTCGCACGTGCGACCTAAATCGGGATTTAAAACTATCCAAGCAGGAATGGGGTGCTTGTCTTGCCAATGATTTCACTCGTAAGTTACATACATATCATTTCTTTTAATTAAGTGTTTATATTTTAATGTGCAATGGCATCGCGGGGGTTCCCGCATCTAATTTTTTAAATATTTTTCGATATAGTTACTCTTGCATACGGCTATTCATATATGCTCATTTACGTATATAAATAAATAAATAAATAAATATTTATAAATTAAAAGTTTTTAGAAGCTGAAACTTAAACCATTAACTATCTAAATAAAAGTACGCGTTGAAGAAAGATGAATTTTTTTTAAATCTATATAAAAATAATCCATGTATACACTTGTGATGGTGTCTACACAAATTGAAACATGTGGAGAAAAAATATGGAAAATTGTCTTTTCGAAAGATATAAAAGTAAAAAAAAAGATCAACAACACAACTAAACATATTATTTTATTTTTAGTAATCTTATAGTCAAACTTGAGTAATTTTAAGTCTTCTTTAAAATATTTTTTGATGTAGTAAAGTTTTCGAAAATAGAGAGAAATTTGAGCTGTAATCTTTTGACTATTTTTTAATACTGTAACTTGAAGCTAATAACGTACATCCACATATTTCTTAGATTTTAATATAATACTTTAATAACATATTTCAAGGAGAAAACAATCGACGCTGGGTCATGTCCCTTGTTAGTTCCTGTATTTATGCTGTCTCATATCGTTTATTGGCTGTGCCACTTACATAGATTTTTTTTTATTGGAAACCAAATTCTCACTCGTAGCGACTCTTTGACTTCCATAATAGACATAGACTATGTTTACATGAACACCCTTAATTAGATTTAATAACATCTGTAGTTAAAAACTAGCCAATATCACAATTATTCCATTCTTCACAGGAATGGTCATGATTGGCCCCAGTTTCATAATTACAGATATTATTAAACCCGATTAAGGGTTTAGGCCGTGTAAAGATAGTCATAGACTAAAGGCTAAAAAAAAAAACGTAAATGAATCGACAAGTCAAAATACTATTGACAATCATTAAACTTAACAATTTGATGAACAAGATTTGATTTTACAATTCGGACATTACCACCATAATATTTTTTACCTTATACTTTAATAATTTATATTTTATATGCGCTACCATTTATGTATGTAATATTTATTATATATTTAATCAATTTTCTTTGTACCGAAAAGGACCTGAACCGTAGGTCGAAACGTACATATATACGCTTCACACTATTCATTTCTTGAGATTTTTGAATTTTTTGAGTGTCACGGCCTTTATACATAGTCTGCGTTTTTGTTATTTACCGCGAATACTGAAAATTTTTATAGTTTACGTTACGTTTTCAGTATTTCAGTGCAGTGAAAACGAAACGGGATTGATTAAAAAGAATAAATTTTTGCATACATGCAGCATGTTTTCAGCATTCTGATTTTGAACGAGATTCGAATTAAAGTGTGTAAAAAGATGATATTAATTGTGTGCAACTTTTTTCAATGACTATTTTTCAAAGATACGTAAGTGCATTAAAAAGGTGAACAATATACATATACAATACAATATGTATATTTGTGTGTCCAGGATTCTGAAGTTTATTCAGTAAAGCCATTGTTAGTGAGAAGAATCCACTTTACAAACTGTTTTCTATTTATAATATACCTCTATAACTATACAGGAAGCTGACTTTATCTTTTAAAACATTCACATTTAAACTTTTTTTATTTTACTAATTGGTTTTCGTGCCCTCCTCTTCTCCGGTTATATTCGAGTGGTCCAAACAGTGGGAGGGAGGGGGGAGTGCGGTAGAGAAACATCGAAAAATCACATTTATAGGAACACTTAGGATGTTATTCCCTCTTATCCATTCTGTACATTTGATTTTGAAGTTAAACCAAACTGAGCAGAAAGAAAGGATAATTCTCGTTATTTCTCTGATGAGTGTAATCAGACGGAGGAGGAATGTCATTTCGGCATCTAAATCGCGGCTTAAATTAACGATGATACCGCCGTCTGCAACAGGATGTCACGCCGCCCGGTCACGCGTGTCAAGGACCATATGTATGTATAACTGTTGTGCCGACTAGCTTAACATTCGTGAATCCTGCCGGAAGTTGCCTACACAAATGCACGCGTGCGACCGGCTGCTAAGGAATTGAAGTAATTGACCTCATGTACGAGCTAAATTCTCGCCCATGCGTCATGACGACAATGATTATTTGCTATTTATGATACATACTGTCTAATAACGAGTATAAACTGCTGCATAAATTTTTCTGTGTTATTTCGCAATGAGCTAGTCAAGTAGTATAAACCAAGTCCGCGTTTGTAGCATTTAAACTTACAATTTTTTAAATTGAACTTAAAAATAATAATTAAATGTAGGTGCATTACGTGCAGAATTTTAATATTCAACCATATTGTACCATAATATTTTCTGCAGTCGAATATATACATATGAAATTCCCTTTGCTTGCTAAAGCCATCATTGTTCGCCTGTTGGGTGTTACTCTAAAGTAAGAAACTGTCTTGCAATGCTTCAATGAGAAAACAAATATGAAAATCACTTCCTCTTTTCTGAATGGTATATTGTATGATTTTTTTTACATATTATGATTCCTCTAATTATTCTACATATAAAAGTATCAAAAGATAGGAGATATGAAAAAAATACGTGATATATATATATATATATATATATATATATATAAAATAAGATAAAAAGTCAATATAGTTTACGAGATATTAAAATAGCTATTTTTTTCTGACACATATATTGACATGAAATATTAAATATCTCGTAAAACTATTAATATTTTGATAATTGTACCTTAATACTTTTATGAATTGAATGAGATGAATCAAAATTATTATAATAGTTCGGTGTCCCCACCTAGAAAGAAAACAACTTGACTAGAATACGTCCTCCTCAAAATCGTTCTATTTTTATTTAAAATATTTGTTATCAAAATTACTAAAAATTTCGTATTATAAAAATAAGCGAATATTCAAGATGTTCACATTAAGTGGATCATCTTATATATACAAAATATATCTATATTATAAGTACCGATTGGCTGACATGAATGATATCATAGTTATTATATTTACGTTTGTTTTTTCTTATTGTTGAATCTTGCAGATGAGCGTATCGATCCGTCCTTTTGAGATCCAAAGGACGGATTAAGTCGTAGCTTTGCACCCTTTATCGATCAAAGCGCGCTGCATCCACTTCTTTTTTTGCAAAAATCTATTTCCAATGACGTAATTCTTCAAAGTTCAACATTATATTAAAACTTATCATTTTTAACAACGATTTTGTTTTTTCATATTTTAATGTATGAATCATGGACTATAAATACGACAAATACTCTATTTCATCACATATAATTTATTATCTTATTATATTCTTTGCCTCTCAAATATATATATAACGTACTCTATTTCAACGCTACTATAGTGGTTTCCTTGTCCTTAAAATTTAAATATGTAGAAAAAGTAAACTTGTAACAAATTTATATATTTTCTATAGTTTTAAAAGGTAGCCCAGCCATTGGCAGTCCTATTCAATCTCTACCGTTTAATGATGATAATTCCGACACTAAGGAAGAAAGCGATGGTAAGTTCCATAATTTGTCGTTATAATACGGGTGTATGTTTTAGTTTTTTGGAAAATACGAATACGGATATATTGAAAAAATAATCTATAGCCATACCTCAAGTATTGAGTAAAATAATTTCAACTGTTGTAAAGGTAAAATTATAATTAAAAATAAATATAACTAAAAAATATATATATGTATAATATATATATATATTTAGTTACATTACCTAAACGTTTAGTTAAAATTATTTCACTCAATATTCTGCAATTGCGGTAGTTATAATTAGACACTTTTATCAATGTATATCTTGATAACTAAAAAGAGAAAATAATTTTGATTGTTATTTAAAAAATGTTTAAGGCAACATTTGTCTGTAATGCAATCTTTAAAAAAAAACATACTGGTTTTTATTATAAAAAGATGCAGAAAATAAATTTAAAATATGTGATCATGCATATATATAAGATAATGTAAATAGAAATATAAGACATAGGCGTATATAGATGAAAGAAGATTTTTATAGATTTTTATATCCTTGTATAGTACGTAACGTTAATTTTTTTTATTCTTGTCAGATAAGCCATATACAATCCAGTATATTCTTTTGCAGATTTCTACAAACGAAATTGACCATATTTGTTTATTTCTTTTTCTTTTACATTACAGCAAATGATTGTATATCGGATAGAACATCAGTGTTGGAAGATCAGAAGCGAGCAAATTTGTACGTTCCGCAATGCATGTCCGATGGAAGGTATAATCGAGTACAATGCTATTCAGGTTATTGTTGGTGTGTGTATCAGGATACAGGTAAGCCAATACCAGGGACATCCTCGAACAATGGCACACCGAATTGTAATCCAGTTCCGACTCCTAGTAGACCTATGAAAGGTAATTAAAATAAGTTTTTTTTTTCTTGAAAATTATTATACACCTGTTGTGTGCATGTATTATTATAAATTTCAAATCAAATAATTCTTTAACATTTATAGGATGTCCAGATTTAAAAAAACAATTATTCCTTCGAGATTTGATGACTCTCATGCAAGAAAAAATGGAAGCTTCCAACAAGCTGGAAGCTGATTTTAATGAAACTACCGTTAAATGGCAGGTTTCTAAAGAGGAAAGAATAGCAACTTGGCATTTTGTAATGCTTGACAAGAATAAAAATAAGGTATTCGACGGAAGACAATCGTATTTTTCTATCATTATCTATTAAAGGAGATATATTACACATACATATAATAAATTTATGTGTAACGTGTGATATTTATATTCAGAGTTTAACATAAAGACGCTAGTAAAATTGTTTAAATAATTTAATCGCATATACACACACACACATATATATATATATATGTATAACATTTTGAAAAATATGTGTAAAGAAGAGATTTCTCTTTTTCCTAGATTCTGTAGCTTATTGCAGGTTTCCTAATTGAAATAAAAGTTTCCTGATTACTTTCTCTACGCTTTATATTCTATTGCGCGTGATATACATATATATATGTGCGCGCGTGTGTGTGTGTGTGTGTGTGTAACATACATGTATGTATATATAGGTTTTAGAAAAAAAAGAATGGAAAAGTTTTCGGACAATGATAGCGAATAACAAACAACTCCGAAGATGTGGTAAAAAATTACCAAGATATTGTGACATCAACAACGATCGAAGAATCAGTATGACAGAATGGCTGAGTTGTCTCAATGCTCAGCGTCCAACAATAGGTAATATATAACATTATACATATATATATATATATATCTTATTTTTTACTTTTGTTTTATATATAAGTATAACGTAAAGTTTTAATGGACATTTCAGCTAACAATCCAGAGAAACCGTTAACTACACCGAAAAGAATAGGTCCAAATCCACTAGATCAATTTCTCAATGATGATGACTAGCATATTATGTGATAATTTGTGTTCGCTATCTCAGAGACATTCATCTTTTTTTTTTGTCATTAAGCATTAAAATAGGTACTGGAATTTTTAGAATCACTGTGAGCCATCTTTTCAATGTAACAACATTTAATTTTTTAGCATTTTATTAACTTTCGAGAATTTAAATTTTAACAATTCTCGCAAATTCTTATATTTAACATTCTTAAAATTTTTTTAATTTCCAGTTTAAAAATAATTACATGTTTTTATCATTTGAGTAACACCGCTTATTTGTCTATTCCTGAATGTTGGTATTTCGCAAAATACGCAGGCAAAATTCGCAGGCAATTTTCTCATATTGGTAATTGTAAACACTGTATAAGTTCAGTAGATACTCTTGTGTATCACCTAGTCCATAAAAGTAATCCTTTAAATAATTAATAAGCTATCCTATACCGAAAACAAATTCAATATAGAAAAAGATCTTCAATAAAATAATTTTTGTAGCAATTTTCTCAATATTGAACTTTTATCACATCTATATCTTTATCCATTTCCTCTTTAATCATGAAAGTCATTTAATCAAGCGTTTACATATTTCTATAGTTTATGAAAGCTAAAGATTAAGCTCGTAATTCAGAAAAGTATCTAATGTACTTTACTCTTATAAATAGGTAGATATGTGTATATATTCTTTTATGGACGTATGATACTTTCTGCAATCTACATCGAGATAGTTTTTAAAAATAAACATAAAGAAGAATATTTGCTACATGTGTCACAGAGATGGCATGAATAGGAATCGTGGCACAAAACGTCCAACGTTTGAAAAAATATAAACCTAATTTGTGCGTCGGTGTATTTTCATATATACATGTTGAGCACACAAAAATATTCTTTCATTTATATACATCTTTCACACATAATTTTTACAGAGTCTGGATGATATTTCTCTTATACAATTATAATATATCTATTCTTTTTTATCACAAACAATAAACATGGGTCATATTCAAAATAGATGTCCATAATTGTGTAATTTATGGATGGTTACAATTGCCCTTTGAGTTTAGTCCATTTTTCTGGCACCTCGCGTTCTCCATGCAATTAGCAGATTCCAAGAAAAATACAAAGAGAAACAGTGTACTTGCGAAGCTAAAAGAATAAAAGCGTACCAAAGTACGCCATATGGTAGACTCTAAAAAGTAAAATAATAAAAGTATAATTATCTTATATTTAAGAACAAAATGCAAGAAATATGAAATTTATTTTTTCAAAAATAAATCTTGCAATATAATATCAGCACATTTTAACAAAAAGTTTAATTAAGAAAATTTAATGACATTTAAAATAAAAAACAAACATACCTGCCACAAATGAATGTCCTCAGATTTGCCTACAGTCAGGTATGTCCAGACATCCTTAAAATAATAGACTATAGCATAACCTAATGGCCCATAACCTAACAGGACAATACCTATCATGTATTTTTGCAGTGTTTTAATCCTATTCCTTTTAATCGCAGAAAGAGCGAGAAAAGATAATAACAAACTAATACACCATATATACTCCCACCATAATGGCTGAAATAGAAGAAGAAATAAATAAACATTAGATGATTAAAAAGTCAACATATCATATCTATATTCAATATTATTAATTTACATGTGACATACACTATAAAGAAAAGGACAAAAGAAAGTACATGTTTTATCTACGTTAGATTTACCAGATTAATCTACAAAGATATTTCTTATTAAAGTTTCATATTGTCTTCTTGTAAATAATTATGCTTAAAATATAGCCACAATTATAAACAATAATTGTATTAAATGTTAAGATATCATTATATTATACCTGTGGTACTTGTAACTCCTCAATTTCCAAAATAAATATATCCATACGGTCTAATATATCTGCAGACAGTTTGGCAAGCATGACGAAAAATAACAGATAGTGAAAAAATATACAATACTTCAGTCTTGATTTGTTAGTCGCACTGGAAACAAGTATATTTTTATAAATTTTAATGAAAATGTATGATACACGTTTTAATATACACGTATGCGTGATATAAATTAATAATATAGCGTTTACGCTACATATATATATATATATATATATATATATATATATACATATAAAGATATATATAGTTGTTGAAATAGGTACCAAACGTAAATTGATATTATATAGTATTATTAGATGAATGAAAATCATCTAAAAGTAATAAAGTTTTATGTTTCTTTCGAATTCTCACCTGACTTGGTAGTGTGTCGCGATTTTCTGTCGGTGACTATAATCGCTCCCATCTGTTCCCAGAGCCTGGGAAAGCGTAACTTTCGAGGCCATAATCGGTAAGGCGTATCAGTCTCTTCTTTAAATGGACACGAGATTCATTCGCGAACGGAGAAATAAAATCCAAGGCAATTTATTAGCAGTGGTTCATCAACGAGTATTTATAACTATTTTTAAACTTCACGCAGCCAGATGGGAAACAGAGTGGCTTCGTCACGGGCTCGTTGGCCTAGACCCTCCGGCCCACGGTGGTGATTCCGGAACTGTCCGGAGTACCTCAAAGTACCCAGGGTAATGTAATCTGGTGTATGTCAGAGAATTGAGAATAACAGGGAACGCGCGATAGCTTAAAGTAAACACCAGAGCACCATAGCAAAAGTGTCAATTTCCCGACCGCCGACACCGCTGTGGATTCGTACTGCTCGTGCAACCGGTGCAACCAAGTTACCAAAGTGCAACTTGGTTACCGAAGGAGTCTTAAGGGTGCGCTAAGCGCCTCCTCTACTTTTGTCTACTTCCTCCACCCGTCCGCTACTTCGCTATCGCGTTCAACGTACGTATATAAGATGAAAATTGTATAAAATCCGGAGCATTGTTTGGCGAGCGCTGCGAGACGGCGTATCCATATTTACTACTGTTTACTGCTATTTACGGAGAGAGGCTCGACATAAAAGTCGGTGTAATTTGTCGCGAGTCGAGAGTCGTAGTGTGGAAGTGGGACAAGATGTAAGAACTTGTGTTTTTCTTATGTTGCAGAGAAATTTGATCGGTCAGGGTGCGCGCGCATTAACGTTCTGCGTGTGTACTTACGGTGCATACACCGCGGTGGATAAGAAACAAGTATGAATTGGTATAAATTACTACAGATATGTATTACCACCGACATAAACTTTACTTTTACATTCTTTTCAAGTGTCGAATTATATAATTATTAATTTGGGAAAAATATTTATATTACGTTTTATACATTCTCATTACTGTAGGTCACAAAATACTTGAACAATATTTGATTCAATTATAAACTTTATTTATCGATTCGTAACAGCTGTGTAGATTTCTCCAAAGATACGTACTTCAGACACCTGTTTCTTCATTTTCATTCGCGTTGGAATTTATGTACAGATATTATACTTTCTTTAATCTTATCTCAGCAAATATCAATCAACGATAATTACATAACTGTTATAGTTATAATTGCCTAATGTTTAATACTATAATGTTACACTATATTACAGTTATATTGCTGAATGGGAAATTATAACAATTGTGTTGTGTATATATATACAGTTGATTGATATTTGTTGGGATCGTGTGTGTGTGTTTGTGTATGCGTGCGTGGGTGCGTGCGTGTGTGTGTGTGTGTGTGTACAATTAGTCTGTCTTCATTAATGTCCACCAATAGCATCTATAAAAGTTGTCAAGATGCACAAATATCTCTATCGCTTTACATAGAAAAGAACTCGAGCTGCTCTCAATAGTGCGTCGCAACTAATTTTTCGCGGGCACATATTTTATAAAGCTACCTATTCTCCGATACAAGTTTACATCGAGTAATGGCTGGAAAACATCATAATTGATGAATCAAATGTATATGTTCCTGGAAAATGCCCTTTCCTTTATAAATGCTTCGACAAGTGACAGATATCTTTCGAGACAAACAACTTGTTTTACGTTGGAAGGAAAGGGAATGTAATCAGGTACACATTTTGAATGTACAAACAGCGTATTGGAATCCTGTGTCAATCGGTCGCAGTTATTACTGACTGCGCGTCTAATAAACTCTCACTTAGAAGGATTGAGCTATTCATAATCGGCGCACTTACAGTGTTCCCTGACCTATTGTTACTGAAGGGATAAAAGCTATCGATATTTGTATGAACAGAACAGATACCGACCTTGTCTATCGGGGAAACACAGCTTTCGTTTATTCCAAGTTGATTTATGTCGTTTTGGAGTAATCTAATGTAAAGTTCAATATGTCTTTGTCCGCCGTTACGAATCTCGAGTGTCGGTATCCAACGAAAATAGCATTGCGTCCAAAGCTCGAGACTAGAAACCGCATACAAAGGCTTAATAATCGTTTTGTTTTCCGTTTTTATCTTGTCGGTGAAACTACAGGGAATAAATAAAGGATTATAAAACAACAAGATGTCTTGATCGTTGAATTGTTCACGCCAGTCCCAAACGCTACGAAGTACAAGAGGTGTGTTGGGATCCTGAAAAGTCCAAGTTATGTAACGCTTGTAAGCTTATTAACTACCGAGGTTACAGAAGAGACCTCAAGTAAAATTTATTATTATTACCATAGCTGCCACTGCTCGATCTCTCTCACAATTGAAAATAAAAGTATCGAAAATGGAAACATGTGCCGCGTCCCATAGTGTGGTCAAGTACGTTTCCGTAAATTCAAATTCTGTTGGATATTGTTGACACAATTGCCACACACAGTCGAGGTATAAGAGAAACAATGGAGACTGTACACAATCAAATCAAGATAATTTGCCTTTGCTAGTATCCCAGGTGTTTTTTCTTTTTTTTTTTTAGTGCCATTTTTAAGTGCTTGCCATGCGTACCTTTTCTGAATTAGCTTTCACGATGTGGCCTAATCTATCACAAAACGGATGGCCACCAGCGACCCATTCCTTTTGTAATAACGATTGAAAGCCTGCTATAGTACGAAAGTGATGATCCAGCATCAGTTGCGCTAAACTCGATATAACGCAGCACAAGTCTCTAGCAGCACCTTCTAAAAACGATTCTCGTTTATGACACATGTCGACTTTGATAAACTCTCGACTTTTCCATTCCACACGATAACGTCAATCGTAAAGTCGATTGCTTGTGTTAAAAGATTCCTTTACGTCCGCTACATTACGTCTGAACAACTACCTTGTAAGATGACGGAAATTCCTAAATTAAGACGGTCGCAGACTTCAACTGTCTTTTGTAGGCAATACGATATGTATTTAAGCCATTTTGTATTTTCTAATAATGAATAAAAATTATTATCTTGAATCCAGAATTGTCTGATGTTTTCTGAAATAAATATATACATTTTCCTTTGTTTTGCAATCTAGATACTTGCAAGTATCGGTATTAGTATGACACGTGTATGTAGATAAATAAAGACTTACCTGGTGTACATAAGTTAATAAATTTGGTGAAACTTGCTGCTATTAGCTTTACATTAATTTCTTTATTCAATTCGATGACAACCGGCGGTATCTTTTGAGGATGGCTTTTACGAACATTTTCAAACATAATATTCTCCTGCATCCTCTCTGCAATCGTTGGTAATAATTCAGACATTTTTACTAACGCCGCACCATGGACACTCGTCCAGGACCATACCGGTGGTCTATTACCTTGAAAATGTCTAGCTGCATCTGTCAACTGACTGTCTGTCACAGACGCAGGTACTACTACGTATTGCGATAAACTGCAAACAGATATGTGATAACGGAATTAAAATTCGGTTTGATGAATTTGTTTCAAACGTGCACACGTATTATAATTGCATTAATTAGGTATATAAATTATATAAATGCACAATGAGCAAGTTACCTGGGACAAAGTTGAAATTTAGCGTTAACCATGGATAATCTCCAACCTTTCCTTATTTCGTCACTACACAATGCTCTTTTCAATTCGTTTTGCCAGTCTGAAATATCCCGAAATAGTTGTACATTTTTGTCAAGACTACTGTAGTAAGCCTCTCTGTAATTAGACATTTAATACAAACATTGATTTAAAGTGTGTATACGCACTATGCACATATATTGTTTATTCTGAGGAGAGGGGTACACCTTTAACAACGTAACTTTAACATTGTAATGTTACATTTTCTTCCAAATATAATACTAACTTGTAATCGTAGGCAAACAACAGTTGGTGTCTGCTAGGAAAAGCATGATGTAACAGCGCAGTCAGAAGATTTTTACCGTGCCCAAGAGGTGAAAACTTGAAAGAAAACGACCATGTTCTGAGATTCTGAAATTCATAATGTAATACTTATAATTTTTCTTCATTACAAACGTTTATAGTTTGTATACAACAAAGTTAGAATTTTTGATTTTTAAGTGATCATGTTATAGTACTCTGTGACACCTAAGCCAAAGAACCGATTTTCGACATCCATTCTCCTATTATAGAGTGTCTTAATATCAATACACACAAGATGGAAAACTTACTCTGCAGATGATAAATATTCCTTTTACTTTCGATGGTACCGTATTACCAGGAACTAATTTTCTTTTCTTATCTCCTATCATAATGTAAATTTCATCAATATTTGTCAAACAGGTATCTGTATACCCATACAAATGGTTTTGTTGGCGAGTAATGTTCTGTAACATAGATTCGTGTCTAAAAATTGGTTTACACTTCAATAAACAAACCAACGATTGTAAAGTTACATGCCTACACATACATACCTCTCCATTGGAATCACCACTGGTGACAAAGGTAAGTTTGAAATTGGTTACTGACAAAACACCAGATATGCCTTGTTTTAGATCACTAACGGGTAAAAACATAAGAACACTCTGCGCCTCGGCAATAAGAACTTCTCCTGGCAATAATTTTATGTTATTTTCAACCAATGAATTACGTCGGCTGGAATTGAAGGTCTACAAGAAGGTTATGTTCATTAGCATCTAAACATTCAGATATGCTTTTCCAGTTTAGTTGAATTAGAGTTTAGGTTACATAACAACGCGTAGATTAATTAAATGCGAAAATGTTTACACAGGCTTAAATCAGTTGACAATTACCTGCAGCTCGTGCTCCTCTAATCCTACGTAACTAATAAAGTTGTTGCTACTTTTGTTTTCCATGATGGACAGTCGATTTGCAAAAAAACAAAATTTGCAGGTTTATTATACTATTCCTGCAAAGTAGAAACAAGCGCGCAAATGATACAACGCTTCGTTCAATGTTCCTCTCGCATAGTTGAATTCAGAATCCAGTTGACAACTTTTACAGGGCACGATATCGTTCCTAGCAGCTAGAAATTCAAACTCCACTTAATACGGGCGGTACTGTAATATATTTTATATATATATATATATACACAGTATCTTCATTAATCGGATATCTAAACCGAGACGAAAAGTGAGACTATTGCATGGGCGTCGCCATGTTGAAAATTAGATACTAGCAAAGTAGAGAATAGAGAAGTAGCATGAAGCCATGAAGTAGCGTTTAATAGCATCTACTGTACTTGGTTGGAATGCACTAGTGTGCACTGGTGCGCTTATTCTCCTCGAACTCGACTGTAATTGGTTAATTTCTTACAACCTAATTGGCTCCAGCACACTGGACGCGGAAACGCTTGCCGCGCGGCAAAATGTGACGCGGTAGCCAATCAGCTTACAGCTCCTAACATGCTCATTGGTCGCCAGTGTGCTGGTGTCTAGTAACTTTTCTCTGCTTTACCAATGAAGTTATATTATTTTTAAATTGGCCAATCAGAGTGTGCAATCGGAATTGTAAGCAATCGCAACCTTCCCTCCTG